AGACAGCACCCAGCGTCGAATTTTTCCCTCATATTTGAGACATTGTCGGCTACGCGTCCCAGAACTGGGTAAACTAATGACTAGCCCCTTGAGGACTTGAGAGGAGACCGACAAAGACGGGTTTAGAGCGGAGTACCTTTACCGAAAGAGCAGTAGCCAACGCGTTCCTGGCGAGTTCATCCGAGTTTCTCCTTTCCAGCTCAAATATCTTCCAGCAATTACCATCGAAATTCTTTTAGGACGCGGCGCTTGCACGGGACATTGGTCCCGGCACTTGTCCGGACGTTGAGGCAGTCTTAGACACGACCTCGATATGAGCGCTAGAGGTCTCCACAATATTGCCAAGTGCACAAAAAATACTTAAACTTATTTTTTATTTTTAAAAGATCATACATCAACCCATCCAATTGCTTGAGGAGCAAGCTACGATTTGCTTAAAAACAGTTGAGGAAGCTAATGGTTTTGAAGAGGTCCAAAATTATTATTCAATAAAAAATAAAATTCAGAATGAAAAAGATTGCTCTTTTATACTTCATTTTAATTTCTATGTTGCTTCAGTGGATATAAAAAAGGTCAACTGTTTGAATAGAAAATGAAAATCCTCAGAGACTTCAACGCCTGAGCAGAAAAGCAAGCGACACATGTTTGGACAGCGTCTGAAGCAACGCAAATGAAAACCCTCAGAGACTCGAACGCCTGGGTAGAAAAGCAAGCTACACATTTTTTGGCCGAGTTTGAAGACGAGCACAGTAAAAAAAGACACCGAATTTACCTCACTGAGAAAGATGGTACCCCTTGTATTATATTTGAAGTATGTATTTTAAAGACCATTACGCTAGTTCTTCTTCAAGAAAATATCCACGACAGAGGTATGATAGGAATAAAATATAAAAAGAATTTATCGTGTTTAATGAGTCTTTGATTGATTCATGACCTGCTAATGACTAAATTTGATACTCTTTTTGATCTTATGACTCCGTCCATACAATAAACTTTGAGGTTCTAAAAGTGGTTTCACTGGTTTCCTCGTGAAATTCTCTACTACATGCACCCCTTGAAATTTAAAATATGACGAAATAAACATCAAAATTTGCAGTTTTAGTCAGAAATGTCATGTTGGACCTCTCTAATTGACTCGATACACAGTGCGGCGCATTCAGCAAAGGGGGAAATTTTCCCTGGACAGTGGTTTTTCAAATTGGTCGGACAACACTGGGCCTAGCGGCGGGGCGGTGCGGTGCGGCGAAGACCGGTCCCACTTTCTCCTTCCGCGCTGGCCCACCGCGTCGCGTCCACTCATTAATAATTAAATGAATATTATGAAATTTATTATATATTCAGACATAAATACGCGCGTAATCTATTCTGATTGCGCGCTCAATTCTCAATTGCGCACCGCGCCGCGCCGCTTTGCTTGTGCGCGCGCTACGCTCCCAGAATTTATATACCCGCGCAAGGTGCGGGCTCGCGGCTCGCGCGCCATCGTTCGCGCCAAGTTGCGAAATGTATTCATGAATCACACGACGAATCACCTTTTCTCCGAGTGTTCCTTTCCTTTTGCCTTGATCAAGGTGATCGGACACACACTGGAAAAAAAAAAGTCGCTTGGACCCAGAGCCCAGACTCTTAAAAAATTTGAAAAGAAAAAATACTCTTGATTAATCGGATTTTTACTTGAATTAAACGGAAACCAACTTAAATTAAGAGGCTAGAGCCACTTAATGCACTAGCTCCGATTGAATCAAGAGTATTTTTCTTGTCAAAATGTTTAAGAGCCTAAACTATAGATCCGCATGAGACATTTTTCCGAGGTTATTGCTTCCTTCTCCAAAGAGATATGTGAGCCCCTTCAGGTCTCACACGACGCAAGCCGCACTACACGCAGTGGTCTCATTAATGAAGCATATTGCGACTATTCCCAATTATGAATCTTACTTTAATGCTTAACTTCTTCATTTCAGTATGGGAAACGTGCACGAAAGAATCAGGCAAATGGACCATTCAATAAGGAATTAGGAAACATGTCACATGTTTTCTTTTTAAAATTGTACGTCCAAAAATTCACACAACTTGAAGCTCAAAACTAGCGAACGGGATATCAATTATTGTTTTTGACACAGATCGATTGGATGTTAGGGTATACTAATGGCGCCATTCGTACTTTTGTGAATTAATCCATGTTCATTGTACACACTGATATCTTGTCCAGGAGTCGATTTCATGATTTTCTGCTGAATGAATCATTTTGCTCATTAATTGGAAAGAAGGCATGTTGCGTAGTGTTTTAATTCAGACGTTGCTTATCCTGCCTTGCTATGAAAAGACGCTGTATGAGCCTTTAGACATTGCAAATTTTCCTTCGATAAAAACTGAATTTATTGGGAAAATTCTGAATATGTATCTTCCAATATTTCAAACGACTTTGTTAGCCTTTCTATCCATAATACCTGAAAATTTTAAGGATAAATATACATAACTTTCTTCAAAAATAAATATTTTACCGGGAGAGCATTGGCAACGTCGAAAGGCTCATACGGCGTTTTTCCTCCCCACGGCAGTATAGGCCCGTTCGGCCCTTTGCGATGAGGTGACGTGGATCTGTTAAGATTCAAGGGAGAGTATATTCTCGGTTACGATTATTCTCGGGTAGAAATTTAAGTTTAAACTATTTGACGGCATCGTGGCGGTGCTTTCTGCTCCAGGGCCACCATCGGACATTGGCCAGTGAGCGCGCGCGCGGGACAGCGCGTCGCCGCGCCGTCGCGATAATGCGACGCGACGCGGGTAGCAAGTGCTTTCTGCGGGCATAAACGCTCGGTCATTACGCAATGCGATTCTTTATTTATTGGTCGCTTCCAACAAAGAAAGAGCCAGTTTGATAACAATTACAGAACACTAAACGTCCTCGTGATTTACACTCCAGTTCGCACTTGCCCACTTGCAGAAACACGAGCCGCAGCCCCCCTTCGCCCGACTATGTTAAGACATCATAAGCGCATAACTTACAACATTAACCGTACGGAATAGGGTTCATATTTCTTCCGCTGCCCGCCAGGTTATTCGTAAGAGGCTTACACTGACTTGGCTGGTACCACTGAAAATAACAGGGTGGCTCGGGATGTAGGAATGTGATTTTTTCCCGAGAGCCGTTCTGAAAACATTGTAACAAGTGCTCTAGTCAACTCACGCCATTAATATCTTTGAAAGGTTACTACGGTTATTGGCACCGTGGGAGCTATATGATTGATACATATTCAGAGGCTATTTTATTGCTCCTCGCAAATTATCGATGGAGAACACTCTTCCAACGCTGAGGAGCTATATTCAACCATCAACGCTATCGAGAGGCAAGAAATGGAGAGGCGAGAAATTTTCTCTCCATCTACCGCAGAAAAAATTAATGCTACACAACAGAGTGCTTAAGAGTCGATAGTTTCTGTCAACCTCATTTTTGATATGGTGTCCCGGTGTGTATTGTAATTATAAAAACAAATCTCCAAATTTCTCCCTTTTTTCCGTGCTTAAAATCTTTAAAATCTCTTGAATTGTATTTGATTGCTTTTGCTTCCTCCCTCATTTCTTCATAAAGTTTTTTTCAAAGTGCATGTTTCATTGCAATTTTTCATAATGATCCTGATACTTCGTTGCTATCATCTTAAAACTTGTAGAAACGTCGCGTTTTCTTCTTGTGACTGTCTTAACTGGCAGCACCAGTGCCGCGATATATTTGTTTAAAAACTCCTTTAACACCTGAAATTGTATTCGCGATACGCTTTGATGGTTAACGAATAAATGAAACAAGTCGGATGCTTCGAGTGCACAAAAAATGCGTCTTTTTCTGTAAGATTCCCATCACTTCCCTTGTGTTTACCATTTTCAGACTCCGAATTTCCCCCAAAAATGTGTCGAATAAAATCTTCCTTAAAATTGTCAGTATTTAGAAATAATCTGACCACAGGTTCGACTAACCGCATTGAACTTTCCTTAAAGGGGATTCTTTTTACTCCAATCAAAAATTCCTTACGACTACGACTGAATATGCTCTTTGTGAATTAATGTATGGAAATGAGGATGGTGGGTCATGCCTTGTTACGAGAACAAAATTGACGAGTTATACATACAGACCAAATTGAAGAATAGAATGAAACTAAGAGAAAGTGAGCAATGACCATTGAGTGTGAGTATAAGACAGTGGAGACGGGAAGTGGATTTTCTCAAACGTTTTCGGTCCTCAGATGTAATTCCGAACCCGCGTAAATTAGCAATTAGTCTTCTGAGAGTAATATTTAATGAAAATAGAGACACAGCAATTCTAATCTCGGGATTGTTTCTTCCGAGTCTCCACGATACACCTTCTAACCGTGCGTTTAAGTCTCTCGAACTTCGCACGAAAACACGTTTATGAATCAACAACTGAAGCAAAACGCGTGATACAACTATATCAACTCTCCAGTGGCTAAAATTGCATAATCGTAAAAATGCAGGCGCACTCGATTTCATTACGTCTTTTAGCCTTATGAATCATGATACAGTATCAACGATTGAAGCAAAACGCGTGATACTATAATATCAACTTTCCAGGGCTTAATATTGCTTGATCGTACGTGCGCGACTTCATTGCGCATTTCCCAAAAAAAAGAAGTTATTTTTAATATACTTTTTGTTCCTAATTGAGTGGCACAATCAGCATTTTTCAAAGAAGCAAATATGACCCCCCGTTCGAAATCTTTTAGTTCGCTTAGTTCTCCTTGAAAGTGGTTCCATTGGTTTCCGTATAAAATTCTCCTTCCGAAACACCCCTAAAAATTTAAATTGGTTGTGACCAATTAAACATCAAAATTTGCAGTTTTAGTTAAAAATTTCATGTCCGACCTCTGATTGACTCACGTGACGCACTTTCTTGGCATTTTTGACCCCTCCCCCCTTGTAAAGTTTTTGTGACGTAGGTATCTATCCTTCAACACGTATAAACGTGGCTATGATAAGGATTCGAAGTTTACCTTTGGGCATTCCGCATGGTCCTTTGGTCCTGCTGTTGTCAAGAAAATCCAAGTCATATTTTCTGGCCGGGGGGTAGGTCAGCGCGACATGGGCGAGCGCGGGCGCTATGCACGCGCACAAACACGTGTAAACGAGTGACCACGGCGGCATCTTCACCACCACATCGCCTTACTCCTGACCTGAAACCAAAAAAACAAAACGCCATGTTAATTTTATAATCAGTGTTTTCCAGCTTGAGCGTAAGATATGATGTGATAATAGTGACAAATTCACTGGAGAATTTGCACGCAATTTTTTATTGCTTTATCCGAAAGTGCCTAAAGAGCTGATTTCGCAATACTTTTTATGATTTTTTTCTGATATGGGAAACAGTATAAAAATAGATTTAAAAGTAAAAAAATTCACTACCGGAAGCTGTCATCTGACAGCATTTGCCATCTGAACACTTGTATTTTAGCAGATTTGGTTATTTTGCCATATCTCCTCCGATAATTGCTCAATTTATGAACCTAGGGTATCTTTGTGTTCAGTTCACTCAGTCGTCACCATTCAAACACGAAATTCATAAAATTTGAGACACCTGCAAATTCTCCATTGGGGAAGGAACATTTAAAATCGTTTCGAATTTTCACAACTTCATACGAAGAGATTATTGAATAATATATGCTGCAGGTGAAACCCTCAGTTGAACGACGTTTTTCACTGTTTCCGTAGAGCGAAATGTGGAACATCTTATATCAGACTACAAAAAGTCGTTATTTGCAACATCTGACTGTTACGCAGATCAAACGAAAACCTAAAAATAAACGCTTCCGAAATTAATGATCTTAAATCGATGACCGCAAAATGTTGCAATACACTGAGGAGCCAACGGTAATTACTAAATAGAACACAATTGCACTTCAAATTTCTGGCACGCAAGTTTCTGTAATTAGGGAGAGAAAAAATACACTAAAAATATTCTAGTGTATTCAACTCTTGAAAGGCAAAGCACCACAATATTAGCCTCGTAAATCACGAGAAATGTCGAACTTAGAACGCTTGAAACTTATTAATCGATGCAATTTCAATCGAAGTGCCCCTTAATGACGGTGCCCTGCAGATTTTTGATCCAATAGCAGAGTAAATAAATGAAAATAGATAAAAAAAAAATAGATAATAATCGCCCCTCCTCTCCCACTCACTTGCGACGTGGCGCGGGTAAGGAAGCCAGAATCGACGAATACAAAGTTGCACATACGAAACAAAAGAGGCCTGCGCCGGCATAAAAACATAATGGAGACCGGCTCGCTCTCCGCGGGATAAATTAAACAACTTTCTACGTTAATTGCTTTATTAAAACTTATGACAGTCGAAATTTATTTACAAACACCTCTGACCTCCCATAAATTACCGACCACTTCACTATACTATTCCCCGTTCGATGTTTACTTTGAACGCTCGCATTTCGATCGGCCGCTAACAAGGGGGAGAAAAAAAGCGAAAATAGATTTTAAGTGGGCCCGCGATCGGGCAAAAAATGAATCGCATAGGTGAACCAGAATCTATGACGTAACCGAGTGGTAATGAAATAGTGGTTTCCATTATTACGACGTTCTAATGAGTGGACTCTCCGAAATGCCCTCAGCGATATTTTCTGTACCGCGTCTTCGCGATACTATTGAGCCGCCGCTGTGAGATACAAAGCTTTGCATCGCCGAAGGTGGTTTTGCTCACATGTAAGAAAGTAGCCAACTCTCGCTTCGTTCAATGTGTGCGTAATGAGAGATGACAAATTCAGAAGACCTAACTCATAGACGTTAGTTTGATTGCAACGCTGTTGGTATCATATGGGATATAATGAAGGCGGAAGTAGTGCAAATTCTTCACAATTTAATGGACTTCCCGTGGACTTGAATTCACCAGGTCAGCAGATAAAGAATCCCACATAAAGTTGTCGTAAATTGTCTGTAGAGTGTACTTCTGATCGATACAAATAAGTTTAAAAAATAATAAAACACACCAGCTGGAATCTAAAAATATCGCCTGCATTAGTTCAAAAGTTCACCTTTCGAATTAAAAAATTTCTACATCCTTTTTTCCTATTTTTACTTCATTTTCTCAATTTTCCTTTCAATTTTCTTCTTTTCTTCATTTCACCGCATATTTTTTTGTTTTCATTTCTTGGCTATCATCCTTACTTGTTCATTTGTATATTCAACCCTGAGGGACTCTTTGTGGCTTAATCAGCTTTGGGGCACTGAAAAGGAACGCCTGCGGTCTGTGAAAGCCGAAACTACGGGCTTCTCCTAGACACACCGTCTCTTCCGTGCGCAGAGGCCGATAGTTCCGGGTGATGCATTCCGTTGCTTCGACTGCTCTGGATTCAGTGGCCGCAGCAACGGGTGCTGCACCCGGAACATTCGGCCCCTGAGTCCGGAACGGACGGTATGTCTGTATAGTCCTTACGTGCGGCTTACACAGCCGAAGTTTTCTTGTCACGAATTTTTAAGGTTCAGGTTTGCAGGATCCTTAAAATACGATCTGTCGTCGTTCCATGTTACAACTTCCTTGAAGTTCTTTCGCAATTACACACTTTTTTTTCTAGGTTTAACGTCAATCCAAGCTCGTTACACGTCCGCCATCACTCGTTGCGTAAAAATTCAATCGCACACGCTCATTTAGCAGTTGCACTTTTACTCATTGGTGAGTGATTAATTCTCTTTCTCATTTCGCCGACCGACCAACCTCTGATTGGTATCTCTCATGATAGGCTAATGCATCGTCAAGCCCCCGTCAAAATATATTGCGGAGTGCATGCCGTAACCAGTGTTGCCAAAAAACGTGATAAATCTCGTTCATTGACTTGTAATTAGTTTACGAATTCCATGCTCAGTTTGACACCCTCCGTAACAACGAACGCGATACGACACATTTGGTGAGTTTCAATATTAATTGATTCCGTCCTGGATTCGAAATGAATATAAAAGGAGGGGCTTAGAGGACAAGGCGCATAAGTGCAGTTTTTGAAAAAAATTGAGGTATCAATGATCTCAATTGAAACTAGTTTTAGTGCATATTCTGTGAAAAAATCGCTCCCTAATTCCAATTTTTAAGTATCTACAAGTCAGTTTAAACGTTCTTTCCGCCATAAGGATCCATGCAATTTCTAAACTTCAAACACGTATTTCTCGAAATAGCAAAAACTGCACTTACGTGCCTTGTCCTCAAAGCCCCTCGATGTTTTGTGATGACCGAAACTAAACAACACTGCAGTGCAACAATATCTGTTACTAAAAAGCTGCTCTGTAAGGCAAGAGAAAGATCATCGGCTTGAAAATAGTTGACTGTCTTATTTTGTGCGGGATTGAAATTTTTTTAGTTACCGTTAAGTAGGTGGCGCCAAGAGTAACTGCGCTGACAATATGAGGACATCAATCTTTTTTCTGAGCTTCAAAATGTAATAAATAACGGCATTCCGCCTGGAATATGAGGTGCGAATGAAAGCAAATCGTTGTCTCGTGCACAACTACTGTGAGCCACTACGTGCACGGTGCATGCTGCTCTTTATGAGTGATTAATGAAAAAGTTTACACGTAATCAGTTACATTCTGACTCGTAGTATTAAAAGGAATGCTTATTTCAGCGCTATGGGTTGACGCGTAATTACTCTAAAAATGTCTTTCACTCCTAAACCGACAAGCTAACTCCAACAAGTCTTTGTAGGAATCTTAGCTGATCATCCTCTCTAACAACAGACCATTTTCTGAAAATTTTCTATTCCTCAAAAGTTGATTTATTATTGAATTTCCCTTGAAAACCCTGGTCCTTTTCTTCCTCGAGGATTCATAGAAAAGAAAAAAACAGCATCGCACGCAGGATACATGCACGGAAAGAAAAAAAATTGCTGATTCAGCAATTCAATTGCTAAAAACAGCGAGTGCAATGTTTCAACGCAGATTTTACAACAAAAAAATGCTACTTTAACCACCCCCGTGGTTAAATTAGTTTACAATGTGGTTAAAGTAGCAATTTTTTGTTGTGAAATCTGCGTTGAAACATTGCACTCACTGTTTTTAGCAATTGAATTGTTGAATCAGCAATTTTTTTTTCCCCGTGTGGAATCAAGATAAGAATACAAATTTTGTACTCTAGGATGATATTCAGCGCAGAAAGAAAGAGTCGAGGCTACAAAAGTTCACCGACTTTGAAATTTTGAATGATTTGCGAAGGCAAAAATTTGGTGTTCAGTGATTTGACAAAAATCCTGACTAAAGTTGCCAATAAGGAATCGAGCCACATCAGATATTGCTACATTTAACGGGGCGATTTAATTTTTTACAAGTGAACGATTCCTTTGGAATGTGTAAGGAATTTGCCTCGTACTATGCACAAAATTCACTGAAATTTGCACGAAAATCCGCACAACCGCTTTCATGTTAAAAATCAAATTGCCCCATTGAATTTGGCAAAAGCTGATGTGGCTTGATTCATTTCTGCTTAACGCGGTCCATAAATCGACTGAATGAGTACTCAGCACCAGACGAGGGTGAAATTTATTCAAGTCCCGCCTATCTGACAACCTTAAGGTATATGGGGTGGAAATAACTAATCGTTCTTGATCAAGAAGTGCCGACGCGAGGCGTGCACACAATCGGGCGTCCGACGTTCGTCGACTTTTGACAAACAGCTCGGCTAAAATTGAGCCGATCGTAATCGATGACCGGTGTGCACTTGTTCAAAGTTCGAATGTCTACAAATCGAATCGACGCATTAATAATATCTCGGAGCATGAGGTGCGGCCGAGGCTTGATGTGGAGCATGCGCAGTTTTCGCAATGAGTGCCAAGGAACCCTAACCTCAAGGCAGGCGGTGCCACGATTTAACATTGGCGAACCTCAGATGTGAGCTTGTCGTAAATGTTTTCAGTGTGTCGATGGGGCAAACGAATTGTTCCGTCTCTGATGAACTTGCGTATATTTTTATCAGAGTGCACTAGAAAAAAAACACATTGTATCTAGAGTCCAGACTCTTAAAACATTGACAAGGAAAGATATCCTTGATTCAATCAGATTTTAGCTTAAATCAAGAACCAAGCCTCTTAATTTGAGCGGATTTCCTTTTGATTTAAGCTTAAATCTGATTAGTCATTGAGTCCTTTTTCTTGTCAATGTTTTCAAGAGTCTGGACTCTAGATCCA